GGACTCCTGAAAAGCCGCTGCCAGCTCTGCTCACGCTCTGCGGCTTTTGCAGCTCTATCGTCTCAACAGCACCAGCTACACAGCGCGATGCAGTAGTGATTGTGGGAGTGCCAATGCCACGGAGATGTGTCTGCAGAGTGGCGGGCCGGCCCTGGAGCTCTGCATTATGGAATGTTGCAACTTGTCCGACTGCCTGCAGCTCAATGCCACGGCATACGGTAAGCTCCTCTTTGGGGGGGCTTTGCTCCGCGATGGGACAGATCCCCGGGGGCTTTCTGCCACTGCCTGACCCGCTTTGCCGGAGGATGGTCTGGCTGGCTGGAACTGTTGGCCAGAGGCATTCCTGGTATGGCTTTCCCTGGCGCTCTCTCTCTCTCTCTTTGACCTCCTTGGAACAGGAGCTGCCTGCCCAGTGCGTTCAGGGGTGTTGAGGGCCACCCTGGGGGGCTTCCTGGGGGGCAAGGAGTCAAACTTTTCTTCTCTCTTCCAGGTGACGGGGCACCCACCACCACCCCAGTTCCCACCACTACCACCACCACCACCACCACCGCTGCACCACGCCGCAATGTAAGTGTTCTGTGGGATGTCCTCTTCTCAAATGGGGCCAACTCATCCGAGTCGGATCGGCTGCCACGTGGGAACCTCTTCTTGGGCCCTCAAGTGTTTGCGGTTCTAGAGCAGAGGTCCTCCAACCTGGCCATTTTAAGACTTGTGGACTCTCAGAATTCCCCAGCCAGCATGGATGGCTGGGGAACTCTGGGAGTTGAAGTCCACAGGTCTTAAAGTAGCCAGGTTGGAGGAGCCCTGCTCTAGAGCAGTGTTTCTCAACCTTGAAGGCATGTGGACTTCAACTCCCAGAATTCCACAGTCAGCAATGGTGGCTGTGGAATTCTGGGAGTTGAAGTCCACATGCCTTAAAATGGTCAAGGTTGAGAAACACTGCTCTAGAGGAAGATCTCCCTGCCGCACGGCTGAGTTGAGCTTTTCTTCCTGCCTTCCTAGGGGAAGGTTTGCTCCAGCTTCACCTGCCATGGAGAAGGCTGCTACAAAGGCCAGAAGTCCTCCACCAGCTGCATTGTGGGCCACGACTTCTGCGAGGTAGGATGTCTGCCAGGAGCTCTGAAAGCCAAGCTTGGCTGTCAGCTGCCTCTTTCTAAGGACAGATGCTAGCACAGCAAAGGTCACCTTCTCTTGCCAAATCCCCCCCCCTCAAAAAAGAAGCTGATGGCAGAACAATGTCTCCAGTTGGTACCCTCCAAGTGTGAGCAGGTGCTGCTCCTTAGATACACTAGCTCAGGGGTGGGCAACCTGGGCTCTTTTATGACTCCTGGACTTCATCTCCCAGAATTCCTGAGCCAACTATGCTGAAGGGAAAGGGAGAGGTTTCCAAGATGAGCCATGTTGGCTCAGGAATTCTGGGAGTTGAAGTCCACCAGTCATAAAAGGGCCAAGTTTGAAGACCCCTGGTTTAAATATTTAAATATTTTTTCCTCACGGTCACGTGATCAAAATTCAGGCATTTGGGCAGGGGTAGGCAACCTTGGCTCTTTTATGACTCGTGGACTTCAACTCCCAG